TTTTGCTCACAGCTGGATATATATATAATTATATTGTTGATTATAAGAAGAATATATAGATATTTAATGAAATAAAATTTATTTTATTTTATTTATTATATAGCGATATATAAATTTTAAATGATTAAATTGTATTAATCCAATTTTTCATATTCATCAAATTACAATATGCAAATATTCATACTCACTAGTTTGGCAGCTTCTGTCCAAGTTTTTGCTTTCTTTTTCCTAAGTCTATTATCCTTGCTAATTTCTTGTTGCATTTTTGTCATTTATACATTAAATAAAATCGACTACATCACATCTTTTCTTATTTTATATAAACTTCTTTAGTTTCAAAAGATTGAACGATTTCTTCTTCAGTCCGCCATCTTTGAAGGAAGGACAACAACGTCACGTGAACCGTGTGGGATTATTATATTGGTTATTGTAACATCCAATCATCTTGTTTATTTTAGATTTGATTGGTTTTTAAATTTTTGAAACGCGAACACGTGGCAATCAATAAATATATAGCAATTTCGATCTTTATTTTTTTCTACATTATTATAATTTACTTTTCCTATTACTAATATAGAAAATGTCTTTTATAATTTTTAAAATATCAGTATTTAATGCCATATTCTTTGATGTATTAAACTTAACTAATTCCATTTATCATTTATATCCTTTTTAATATGTATTTAATATGTTTATACTTATTAATTATATGTATTTAATATATTTAAATACATGTAAATAAATTTCCTTAAAATGCCTATTTGAATAAAGAATTTTATAAAAAGAGAAAATGTATTTCTTACTTTATTTAAAGTACTGTATGTTCCTTATTAATTAATTTTTATTAATAAAGAAATATTAAAATGTTATATATTAAATTGAGATTTAACAAATGTATAATTAATAATGTATATATAATATATAGTGTTAATTATATCCAAGTTAGAAAAAACAAATTTATTACATATATATAAATGTGTGTGTATAGTTATATATATATTCACACGTACTGTACAGTACACAAGTTCCAATTTTGGAAGTGTAAATATATATACTGTATTTACAGTAAAATGGACTGAAATAGAATTTCTCTTCATAATTCCTGAATAAACTATAAACTACAGATAAATTTGAATAAATTTAATTTCAGAAACACTAATAAAAAAAATTATAGATTGATCTACAATTTTTTCTATTAATATGACAAATCGTATTGATTTTAGACTTAAATCATTACAAATACAAATTAATATTGAGACATTTTATTATTTATAGAAAAATAATTAAATCTTTGCTTGTAGTTACAGTGCAATGTTTATATTTTTAAAAATTTTTATTGATTTAGGACAAAATATTTTATGTTTATTTAATTAATTTTGTTAGATTATGTAATTGATTAATTAACTACATGAAACATAATATTTAATAATAATAATATAACAAATTATAATAATTTAAAAATTAAATATGATTTATTATAATATAATAAAAAACTGCACTTTTCTATGTAATATCAATATAGAACTTAAAATTAAAGTGCTAGCTATTATTATAAGCCAGTTGGGAGTTAACTGTAGTATTCATGTTACAATTGTGCTGATTATTTACTCCTTTTTATTTAAATGATTCCCTTTAAAACTATGTATCTAAACAAATGTTACATTAAGCTTCTGTGTTGTTATTATTATTATTATTACTAATTCTTTCCACCCTAAGAGCACTAAGAACTTTTTTCAAGTCCATGATGGGTTCAGCCAGACCCTCAATGGGGTACTGAGTAGTGACATATGGATAGAAATATTTTTCTAAAATTTATTGTTTAAAATTTTAAAAAAGGGAGGCCAGAAAAAATCTCAAGTTCAAGGCTGTCAAAGTTAGATCCGCTCTTGCTGTCTGGTATTTGAAAGGCCCTACACAAAGTAGTACAAATTATTGATATAATAGTAAGCCAATATTGGATTTATTTTTTTTTTTTACATTGATCAATATTACAAATGAAAATACAATCATTAGCGAATTCTTCGTTTAAATAATCACAATAACAAATACTTCCAAGTTAAGTTAATCTGAATATTTTAAAAATTATGTTTATTAATTATACAGGCTTGCATTTTTTCGGTTGTATCATGTTTTTCAAGTTTTGGTAATGGACTCCTATGTATTTTTGTGCACTGAATCTAAAAATGACCTTAGTTTTTCTCCATCACATCGGAATTTTTCTAATCGCAATCTGTCAAAAGTGTCATATATCGAAGAAAATCAAAAATATAAGACCTACTGCCAGATTTAAATACATCGGAAATGCTGGCATCTGTCGGTTTACGATGAAAACAAGTCGTTCACATCATAAACCAGCAGATAGTAGGACTTTCGTCCTTAAACGTTTTAAATATCTCAACTGTCAGTGTTGGCGCAACCGTTGGTGCGTATCGTCCGCGATCAAACGTGTTGGTGTCGGCGGATAGCTGTAGACGCTTGAAAGCTAACATACAATGTTCGACATGGCGTCAAGAGGCTGTAAAAAGTCTGCAGATTCCTTTTGTTACATTTTGGTGAGTTAATGGTGTCAAGGCAAAAAAGGAATATAACAGCGTTCGTGCGGCAAGTGTACCTCGCGTATTTCGGTGTAAAAAAAGGAGATCAAGACAAAACTTGGGCACCTCACTATGTTTTCTATAGGCAAGCGCCAAATCCGACAGATGGCGCTGTTTTTGAGCCAAGATGGCTGCCGAAACAGGGTAAGGGAACGACCACGTACTTGTTCAGTGCCTGAGCCGATTCAGTTTCCGTCGGTGACGACTACTGCGAGGACCAAATGGAGAACAAATCATTGAATTTATGTCAAATTCTAGACTATATCGGCGACAGGAAACGTTGTCTTGTAGAAGGTGAAGCCGTTTTGGATGCTGGACACATCGTATTTTGTGGATTAAACTCTAACAACAACACCGAAGTTCACGTTGCTTTAGTGTTGCAATCTCAGATATTGGCATTTTAATACATCTTAATTACAGGGAGAATGCACGTGCAATGCGGGGCTGTCTGGTTTTTGTAAACATGTGATAGCATGATTATTACACGTTAACAGGTGAGAAGTATTTAAATATTATAAACTGTATACACCATGTTCCAATATAAGAACATAGTTTTATTTATCATAATAGTTAAAATTAGTGCCAATCTGAAGGCTACCCGGCTGAGTCATTCAACACTTATACAACATAGGTCAGTCAAAAGTTTGTAGCACACATTATGTTGTGTGTGTGTGCGTCTCATATATCCAAAACGGCTTCACCTTCTACAAGACAACGTTTCCTGTCGCCGATATAGTCTAGAATTTGACGTAAATTCAATGATTTGTTCTCCATTTGGTCCTCGCAGTAGTCATCACTGATAGAAACTGAATCAGCTCAGGCACTGAACAAACACGTGGTCGTTCTCTTATCCTGTTTCGGCAGCCATCTTGGCTCAAAACAGCGCCCTCTGTCGGATTTGGCGCTTGCCTATACGTGTGTTGAAGGACTGAGACAACGGTGAAATGGTAAAGAACATGCTTTCAAATTGAGCGTTCTGGTGATCTGGCGAGAGCCACAAATTCATACTGATGATTGTTACTTTTGTTCAACCGGTATTCACGGTTTCAATGTAAAGAAGACAGGACTTTACGTCCTGTCCCTCAAGGTCCAGACGTACCAGTGCCCATGCAACCAGAACATTTACCTGAAGTAGATGGTTCAGAAATTGAATCATGTGAAGAAACCGAAGATAACGAAGAGGAGTGAGAACCTGGCAATTCTGCACCACAACCATTTACACAAAGTGAACTGAACGAGTTGATTCGCGACTTACATCTGACCAGAGACTTCAGAATTGCTTGGTTCAAGGTTTAAAGATTTTGCTCACAGCTGGCGCTTCGTTTTCCTGGTATAGGTACAGAGAAAAAGATTTTATTCCATACTTTTTGGAGGAAGGAGACTTAGTATTTTGCAATGATGTGTGTGGACTGTTTAAGACATTCAACATTTTGTACGAAAGCACTGATTGGAGACTATTCATCGATTCGTCGAAACAAAGCCTTAAAGTCGTCCTGCTTCACAACGGAAACAGGTAAGCATCAATACCCATAGGGCATTCTGTACACTTAAAAGAACAGTACGACAATTTACAATTTGTTCTCCAGAAAATTAAGTACGACGATCATAAGTGGATCATGTGTGGTGATCTCAAAGTAATATCGATGATCCTTGGACAGCAAGGCGGATACACAAAGTTTCCATGTTTTTATGTGAGTGGGATAGCAGAGACAAGGAAAATCATTAGAGAAGAAAGAATGGCCACAACGACTTTCATTGGAACCTGGAGTAAAAAATGTGCTCCAAAAACCTCTCATCGAGTCGACAAAAGTTCTCCTTCCACCCCTATATATCAAATTAGGCTTGATGAAGCAATTTGTGAAAGCCTTACCAAAAGATGGTAAATGTTTCCAGTACATTTGTAGCAAATTTCCAGCCTTGTCAACCGCAAAACTAAAAGAGGGTATCTTTACGGGTCCGGACATTCGAAAACTTTGCAAAGATGGAAATTTTGAAAAAGAAATGAAAGTTGCTGAAAAAGAAGCCTGGGTCGCCTTTAAAGACGTAGTAACCAAGTTTCTGGGCAACAAGAAGGATCCTATTTTCAAGTCTATCATTGAGACGATGCTGCAGAAGTACCAAAATTTAGGCTGTTCCATGAGTTTGAAGGTTCATTTCTTACATACACATTTACACTACTTTTCTGAAAATCTGGGTGCAGTTAGTGAAGAGATGAGTGAGAGATTTCATCAGGACATCAAAGAAATGGAAAAGAGTTACCAAGGCAGATGGAATACTACAATGATGGTGGACTTGCTGGATGTTGCATCGAGATGATTCCAGAAGAACACATGCACAGAAAAGCCTGGTACAGAGCATGGCTGATCCAAAGAGACGTCGACACAACGACTAAAATGGTGAGTGTTTTATTTTCTATTTTCTATATTCTATTTCTATATTATCATTATATTATATTGTCTATTATAAGCCACAAAATAATACGTTTTATACGAAACAAACCTATTTCAATATGTCATTAAGTCTCATATTTGTGATATTTTTCGTCATATACCACATTTGGCACATTGCGAATTGCAAAAAATTCTTACGTGATGGAACTGAACTAAGGTCATTTTCAGGTTCAACACACCAAGATACATAGGAATCAATCATCAAAAGTTAAAAAACAGAACAATCGCAGGCTAGTGTTATTATTAATATATTTTTAAATATATAAAGTTAGATTTGAAACGAAAAAAGTATATATGTTACCGCTAAAGCTCGAAAGCCGTTAATGTGTACATTACCCAGCTAATCTGCAGATTAACTAGGGTGATCCGTTAAAGTTTCGAAAATCGTTCCATTTCTCAAATTACCTAGGTAATGTGCAAATGATCTAGGTAATCTGCACATTACCTACTAAGCACTCGGTAAACTGAAAATAAGATCTTTGCTGGAACAACAGCAACGTTTTTGTACGCTTAAATTAACATAATGTTATTTAATTAATTTTTGATATCTAAAGAATCAAGTTAATACAGTCAAACAATCGACAAATTAGTTGATAGAATCAATCATCAATCAATTAAAAAACTAATACAAAAAATCAAACGATTTAAAATATTATTATAATTAGGGAAATGAATTTGCAAAACATATGATAAAATTGTACTTACTTATTAGTGCAATCTAAAAATTAGTGACACTTTGAATTACGTAGCAACTGGTTTTCGCGACAAGCACACCTATTTGTGGTACACATAGATTTGCAGTCACATTTCTGAAACCCTGCCTAGTACCAAGGGATTGTTTTATTGCTGTTTGACGTAAACATATTTCTACAGAAGGGACATCTTCTTTCGTTGAAAATCTCTCTTCGCAAACACTGAATTCAGATTTTGTATACAATTGTTTTAAAATACCCGTTTTAGTACCAAGTTTATAAAAGCCATCGTCTGTTTTACTAAAACCACAGCTAAAATTGAGCGTGCATCCGTTTTTGCTCTGTTTTGTTCGGGAAGTAGTAGGGAAAGAAAATGAGAAAAACAAACTTTTGAATTTTAACGATATGGAAGCCGTTAATTTGCAGATTCCCTAGGTAAAATGCGGAAAACTCTTGATTCCGCACGTTAACGAATCATCCTAGCTAATCTCCAGATTAAATAGATAATGTAAACATTAACGACTTTCGAGCTTTAGCAGTAACATTTATACTAAGTTTAAGAAAATCTGTATACTCTTAAGAAAATCTGTATACTCGTAAATCTTATAATAAAATTAAGATGGTTGATAATAATAATAATAAGCTCAGAGCCCAAACGGTTAGAAGTTGAAAGTTGAAATTTGGTACACAGGGCACGCCATGAGAATGCACACTAAGAAGGGATTTTTTAGAAATTCTCCCGCGGGAAAAGGGAAAGGGTTAAGGATTACCCTGAAGAACTATGCTTGTACTGTACTATTTAGATGCGGTTTTTTGCGTTTTTGCAGGAAATTGAATACAGTATAATTTTAGACCCATCTAATTAGCCTCGAAAGAGGATGGGGCCCAATTCTTGCACCTGGTGAAAACGAGTAAGATCGGCTACATAACTATAAATGTTATCTTACGCAAGGTTTCATTACACCGAATGACCAATCTAACACATTTTAAAAATTCTTTATTCCTATAGTGGAATAAAGAATTTTTATTCCAGTAGAGGAATTAAATACTATAAAATAACATAGTAGAAGGATTAGAAGTAGAAATAATCTTAAATCTTTGCTGTTGTTATTTTTTGCCCGAGCAACGCCGGATTCATCTGCTTTTCTCAGTTCTATGTCCTTCAAATGGCGTAGTGATACTGTATTACGAATTGACGGTTTTAATTGTATCTTTCCGCTGCTCCCGGTGTTGTGCCATGTGGATGGCTTCATACATTGTATGTCCTGTAATCATTATTACTTGGTCTGCCCACCTAATCCGACATCTGCCTCTAGGGCGTTTGTCATTGATCTTCCCTTCTAGTGTAAAGTGCTCTATGGTCCTTCAAAGCGCATTGTGAAGTGGGCTTTATGTACCTAAGAGCTCTAATTCATTCAATGTGCTCCAAAGCAGTGAAATTCACCTACTCCAACTTCGCTGGGCTTTCAATTTATATGTAGCTCAGCTATGTTTCCTTTGTGCTTAGAAGATCTGCACAACATCAGCATAATTGATATACCTCAACCTTCGCTGGGCATTCGGCTTATTGATGGCTCAACCTTGTTTCTTTTCAATGAATATACACAACTATCTTCAAACTGTTTATAGACGTGTGTAGTAACTTTCAAACCACGAACTTTTATAAGGACTGTTCTGAACACTGATTTTACTTGGGTTCAAGTGATATTCACTGACACATAAAGTTCTGCTTAGAAATAAAGACTTTAAAGTACACATCTGCAATGTACTCCAAGAGCTGTTCTGCGCAGCTATAAACTATCAGTACTAAGCATTTATTTATATATTTATTTATTTTCTTTTGTTTATCTGAACATTATAATTCGTTTTGATAATTTTATTTATTCTAATATACGTCATAAGCGTATTTAAAATATAACTTATTTACTCATATTGTTTATTACTATTTATTACTATTTGTTATTATTGTATATGTATACAAATATTGGTAACTATATATATTTAAGAATATGTATAACTTCCTGGTAATGCTTTAGCGGGGCCGTGACATGTACCAAGTACTTAAATAAAAATGAATAAATGAATGAATTTCCTTCTAGAATTTGTTTCTCAAATCCATTTTTGCGTCTGGAAATATGTCCCAAGAAGCGAAAGTAGGATTTGTATATTTTAGTGGTAAGGCGTGTTGTGATTTTCAGTTGATTTGGGATGGAAGAAAATGTTCGGTGCTCCGTCCAATAGATTTTCAGCATTCTTCTATATGTCCATATTTCAAAGGAATGAAGTTTCTTCCGAGAAGTAGCATTTATGGTCCAGGTTTCTGAGGCATAAATAGCAATCGAAAAAATAAGCGTTCTTACGAGCTTTAGTTTATTAAAAATATGGATTGCAGAATCTTTCCAAATTTTAAATAATTTAGAGGTTGCATTGCGAGCGAAACAAATTCTGCGTTTAATTTCATTATCGCATCTTCCTTTATTTGTAAGAAGTGATCCAAGGTAAAGAAATTCATTCACTACCTTATAGCCTTCAATTTCCTTAGTCTGTGTCAAGGAACGATCAATTATCATAACTTTCGTTTTACTTCCATTAATCAGCAATCCATATTCCCTGCTCTCAGTTTCAAGACGTTTCATAATATATTCAAGTTCTGATTCATTGGATGCTATAATAAGTGTATCGTCAACGTATCTCAGGTTGTTAACTTTACGGCGCCCAATGGAAATGCCCCCGTCCCAGTTATCTAATACCCTTCTCATGATTATTTCAGAATAAGCATTAAAGAGTAAAGGGGAAAGAATACATCCCTGTTTTACACCAGCTTCAGATGTAAATGTATTAGACATAGTTTTGTTAACTCTTACTCTTGCAGAGTTATTCTCATATAAATTTCTGATCATCGAAATAAGATGGCGCGGGACTCCCATGTTCTGGAGAGCGGGCCCTAATTTGTGCCATTTTACACAATCAAAGTCTTTTGGTATAGTCTACGAAACAAAAGTAAGCTTTGGCATTAAATTCATAGGATTTTTCAATGATTTGTCGAGCGTTCAAAATTTGTTCACGATTTTCTTTACCAGGGATAAAACCCAACTGTTCTTCAGCTATTTCAGGTAATAGGAAGGGTTTCAAACGGTTATTAATTATTTGGAGCATTACTTTACTGGCATGGTTAATTAGGCGGATAGATCTGTAGTTACTACAATCTGTTGGTGCACCTTTTTATAAATTGGAATAAATATTGATTTACACCATTTCTCTGGCCATCTCTCAGATTTCCAAATTAAGGAGCAGATTTTATGAAATATGTCAACACCCAATTCTCCCATTGCTTTTAAAATTTCAGAGGTTATGTTGTCAAGTCCCGGAGCTTTGTGATTTTTTAATGTATTATGGCTTTTTCTACCTCTGATTTAAGAATAGATGGTTCAACTTCCCCTGTCCATCCATTCTGAAGTTGATTATTACCATTTGTTTGTCCAGTGTTTTTATAAAGTTTCTCACAATACTTCCTCCAGACATCAGCAATCCCTTCCGCATCAGTTATTATTTCATTTTTATCATTTTTAATTATTTGTGTGTGTGGTTTGAACTCTCTTGCTAGATATTTAACTTTATCGTATAGATCACGAGTCTGATTATTATTTACATGGACTTCAATTTCATTGCATATACCCAGGGTGGCCAAGCTCCTTGATAATCCGAGCCATTTTTCAAAATTTGAAATTTTTCGCGAGCCGCAATTAAATACGTATTAAAAAGGTATGCAAAAAATTCCAGATTACAAATTATATCCGTAGCAAGAGTGATACAAATTGTTTCCTCCAGAGCACAATGTCAACTGTTCATTGCAATGACAGTTTACAAATTCAAAATCGGTCTGGAGTCGGTCGATAACGGACGATTACGCCACTGTTTATGTTCGTTCGCGCAGTTTTCGATGAGTCATATCATTCTTAACTTGGACGGAAATGAAATTTGTTACAACGTTGCACTTAGTCTTTCATATTTGTTGTTAGTAATTTAAAAGACATTTTGAAACACATACGGAACGATAATAATTTTTTAAAATATAATAACACAAAAATGAAAAGGGAACTCGGATACATTTATCGAGAGCCACAAATAATCCTTCAAAGAGCCGCATGTGGCTCGCGAGCCGCAGGTTGGCCACCCCTGGCATATACTGTCATTTTTGTCTTTCTTACAAGCCTTTTTGATCTTTTTGTCTAGCTCTTTCTTCTTTTCATTTGC